GGAAGAGACTTGGCAAAGGAGCCAGACCTATTTAGAACTCTTCTAACACTTTTCCAAGTAACAAGTTTGAAACATTGGATTTTTTGTTATTAGAGGGTGGGGAATGGGATCTAGAAAGAATAAAAATTCTTCCATTTCTAATCTGGCAAGCAGATAAGGCATTAAACAGTGGGAAAACTGCCATCTCACTCAACAGTCTACTGTGCCATGGTTGTATAGTACAGAATTTTTTAAAAAGGTGATGACGAAACAGACATAGATAAAAAATACCCTACATAAGGGATGAAAGAGAAAGGGAATGTGAAAGGACTAAAATGTTACCTGAAAGCAAACATTAAACAGATGTTTTCCATAGCACTGTTGATGATCAAAACAAGCTCACTCCATCTCCTGAGGCATGTAGAAAATGGACAGTACACCTAACTTTAAAGGAAGGGAAAGAAACACTAATTCTAGGCTTAGTAATTCTTTCCAACCACTGTACTACACAGGTGTAGGAAAAGGAGAGACTGCCAGAAACATACAGGCTGCCTGTGGTCTGAGCGGAGTGGGTAGGTGAGAAATCACCACCACCACTTCACTTTGGGAGGAAATCCAATGCCCTACTAAGGCTCTGAGCTGACCATGTATAAATATGTCTACATTTCTGTCCCATAGCTGTAATTTTTGCGAACTGTAATTTTAAGTCACTTTAAAAGCAAGTCTTAAAAATGAACTGAATCACAGTAGTTCCCACTGGCTGCATTCCAGTGGCAAGGCAGGGCCAAAGACAAAAGTATGGGATACGAATACTGGCATATTTTCATTTTAAACTCCTCCTGGCAATAGCCAAGCTTCAGAAGAAATATTTCCACCTTTTAGAATATGAAATACTCTGTACACAATTTGGGAAAGTACCATATGATGGTATCACAGGGAAGAGGGTATGGCCATCTGGAAAAGTCTAGAGAGCTGCTTTAACTTTGCAGGGCTTGAAATTTCCCATTCTGCTACATAAAAGGAGTACCGCAATATCTACCGCTTATTATTCAATGAAATACACAAGCTGCAATACTGTACCTACTTACCTGAAAGTCAGACCCATTAAGCTCAATGGAGCTTCCTTCCAAGTAAGTATAAACAGGCTGATAACCTGCATCCTGATTTTGTAGTTACACTGGCCATGGAAGCTATAGGCTCACACACAGCTCCCCTTGCTTAAAAAAGCTGTAGCCACCATTGAAATTAGTATGTATTGACTTATTTTAAAATTACTGCGCTGTCAGGTCACAATTGAAAGTGCTGCTCAAACATAAGCAGCAAAGTAATTTTTTAAAACAAACAAACAAACATTTAACATTAGAACAATTAACAATACTTAAAACATAAGACAGAAAAGCTCCAGGAAAAACAGCCTGAAATTTTTTCAGAAAATACCCTGTGTAGCTAAAATGAGTCCTAACAGTCACAGAGAGATGTCAAAAGCCTGGACCACATTACTTCATGATAAGGATGCTCATGTTTTCATTTATCACTGCCTGCTTCTGATATCCCTCCTTTCCCTCCTGGAATGTACAGCCAGCAGCATGTGCAATAGCTCCTAAGAGCCCTGGGTTCAACTAACATATGGCAACGAAGCTCTATTGAAACCTTTGTGTGGAATACTTTTCCCTTTGGGTTTTTCCCATGTCACAAGGTGACCTTTTGTGTGTTTATTGTGCTAAAATAATTAAGGGGTTGTAGAAATTGCAACCATAAATGTGTCCACTGTGCTCTAAAATGAGGTCTGAACAGCAGTTTACTAAAAATCACTGCAAATCAATCAGCTCTCCAGCCAAGTCTGAAACCAAGGTCAAAGTATTGTCTTGCAAAAGAATCTCTTTCATAGCTGACAGCTAAACCTGTAAACAAATGATAATAGAGCAAGTTGGTACCTGACCAACTTAGTCCACCAGCACTTTATGCCATAGCACTTTGCCTACTTGGCAAAACGCTACCCAAGCAACTTACTATTCCTGCAAGAGGCCCATTTGGTCAAAATAATAACTATTATCTGCTACAGTATAGAGGCAGCCTGCCAACCTCATAAGTTGGGAGAGCTTATTTTGCCACCCCAGTAAGAGCAATAAAGATTTCCATTGAAAAATTCTAACCATTTATCAGTAACTTTACTACACCAGCAAAATTCAGTTGAAGGGAAATGTAAACTGAGAAAAAGATAGAGGGAGGCAAAGATACAGGCAACACAACATGCCACACACACCAGACCAATAACACAGACACTGGGCACAAGACATCAAAGAGCAGCAGACATGTAGCAGCACAGCAGCAGGCTTCATTTTCAGAAGCCAGCAACACAAATATTGTAGATTTCCCTCAACAGAAGCAGACTGGCACATGGCTAGCTTCGCTGGATGAGAATATCATTTAATAATGTTCTCTGCATGTTCTTAAAATATGTTTAAAATGCATTTTACTTTGTATATTCTTACTTTGATATTTTAAGAGAGATATTCTCTGCTTTTTCATTGTGCTTTTTCAGGCTACAAACTCCTGAATTTTTAGAATGCAAATAAAACATTATTTTTAGTATTTCAAGTATTTTGGATTGAAACCTGAATTAAGCATCTGTCTGCAACTTAAGTTTACTTTTCGTATATTTTTAACCATTAGTGCCTAGTTTTTCCATAGTTGTCAAGGCTATTCTCAACAAGTCTGAAGTATTTATTGTGTATATGGAACATAGAAATAATGTAGAGAACTAAAGCTTGTAGAACTAGGCAAGGTGATGTTGCCTGTAATTATTGCAACAATGAAACAACTTTTACCTTGATATCCAATTGAATTTTGATATGATTGGCAATGGCTATGTGATTTCATACGGGAAAGAACCCTTTCTGGAATAAATGCAAGCTGTGACCAACATTTGTCTTCTGATGTTTCCCTAGAGATCTATGAAGTTCTCTAGGGCTCTTAGGAAGATTTTCAGGCCCGACACCCATTAAAACTTTAGCATGGCTCAGTACTCAAATTAATATGCACAGACTCCTCCTACTTGATAATGGTGCCATTTGGGTTAGAAAGCCATTGCTGGAGGGTGTTAGTTTATTAGAGAGAAGAAACAAAAACTGTAATATAGCATGTTCACGTTGAGGGTCTCCACAAACTCCATTCTTCCATCAGGATACTTCATTCATTCCCTGTAACAGACACATAGCTTTCTGTGGTCACTCAGCCTGCCCAGCTTCTACTTTGCTGCTGGAGGGCAGGGCTGCCCATTTAAATTTTGGGCTTTCGTTTTTCACTTCTGCAGTTTTTCATGATGCACGCCAATACATTCTCCTTAATTCTCAGTGACTTCGTTTTGGCCACAATCCTATTGCCACTCAACAGCACAGTTGGCTGTTTGGAGGAAGTGCAGATGTCTTGTAAGATGATTTAAAGCAAAACAGCAAGTACCACAACTCTACTATATAAATAATGCTTACATTCTGAACACTGTATTCAGTTCTACCCATCCCACCTCAGAGAGAATATTTCAGAACGAGAAATGTGATCAGAGGAGTCTGGGAAGAAAAGCAGAAGAGTGAACAGACAAAGTAGTTTCTCTGAAAGTAGTGGGGTTTGAGACCATTCAGCAAAATTCATCAGCAATGGTTTCAGATGAAGTAACAGGATGCACTGAGTCAAACAACAATTCACTGTCACTAAACAGAGTGATGGCTGGGAGTTTAGATGACTTCAAACAAAAGGTTATAGAAATTCAAGGAGGCTAGAGCTATCAAAAGTTCTGGGATGTCGTCACTAAAAATGGAATCTTCATATGAGAGCTAGTATTCTTGGGATTACCAGATACTGTATTAGGGACAAACATCCAAGAAAGCCATCATCATCATGGCTTCTTTGCAAGCTTTCTGACATCATTTGTCTGGCCACTGATGGAGGTGGAATATTGAATTTTATAGACGATGAATCTCATTCACAAGATAATTGTTATGTTCTTGTATCTATGCAGAAACAATCTTTTTCTTGAAGAAGCCTGAACTTCTGCACAGTGACGAGGACATCAGAAAACAAAGAATTTTTAAAGCACCTTCTCTTGCAAGATGGTACATGTATTCATTCTGTACAGTTTGTGCATTCTATGCATGAATGCAAACATTTAACCATATGAGGGCCCTGTGTAATACTCATCTGGCACCACACCACATACACCCACATACAGGAAAACTGTTTTTCTGTTTAAGTAATCTCTCCTTCCTGAGACGGCAAGAAAAAAATGTAGCCAAGTATGCAACTGCTGATTTATTTCACACCCACCTATAACTAACAGGATATGCAGCTCAGCTTTCTTTCAAAACAGTTACATTCTGTTTTATTTTGTTCAAAAAATGGAGGAGAAAAAAACTGCATGAGGGACCCAGTTGGAAAAAGTAGCATATATTTAAGAAGAAGCAAGAATCAAAGACACAGAGTTGTTTGAGGCTGGTAAACTAGAAGATGAGCTCTCTTGATGGTTTTAACTTCTTACCAAAAATCTTTTCAGTCAAATATAATTAGGAAAAGGGAAGCACAGCTAGAAAACTGAAAGCTGAGGAATCCATCATGTTGTACTTCCATTCTGGACTCAAATCAAACTTTATGTAATCATAAAGCAGATAGATTTTTCAGCTAGAATCCGTAAATTATTTTGACCTCCATAACATTCATTCCAATTACAGAGATAAAGAAAAAGAACCATTTCTTTAAGGGGAATTTATGGTTATCTGAAACTACAGAAGCAAAGAGGATGGATTTAAAGTATGCTTATGATGCTGAGAATTAAATCTCTGTCTGTGAGCTTAGTTAACATGAATGCCACAATTGTCCAAAGATTAGTTATCCCACTTAAGAATGTGTATAATGTGCAGGTTCCACAAAACATTTTACTGAGACAAATAGAACTATATTCTACAAGGAAACAACTATGTTCAAGCAATGTAAGAATTAAGCACATTATAAAAAATAAAACATTCATTTACCTTTGGTTTTTTGTTCAGCAGCCTGAAAAATAAAAACAAAAAGATAGCAATTAGCAGGATTTTTTTTTAGCCAGAACAATTATTAAAAGAAACTTGCAGCCCTAGTAATCAAGCATGTCATGTAAAAAATACAGCCACCTGGCCAATAGTTTGAAAAGTCTGGAGCAGCTACTATCATTTTGCAGGTAGAGTGAAAATATTGTGGTGATCCACAGCATATTATATGTAGCAAAATATTTTTACATACGTAGCTGGTGGTGAAGGCTTCTGGGAGTTGCAGTCCAAAACTCCTGAGTAACCCAAGGTTAAGAACCAGCGACCTAAAGGACTGCCTTCTTCCATACGACCCTGCCCATCCTCTAAGATCAGGCCAGGAGGCTCTTCTGAAGGTGGCATCCTTGAAAGAAGTGAGGGGGATGGAATGCTGAAATAGGGCCTTCTCGGCTGTTGCCCCCCAACTTTAGAACACCCTCCCTATAGAGATCTGCCTAGCTCCAACACTTTTGGCTTTTCAACACCAGGCAAATACCTTTCTGTTTAGCCAGCATTTTAATTAAATAGTATTCTTTAGCTGGCCATATGAGCAGCAGGATTTATTAATATTAATTTTTAATGACTGTTTTCGATATAGGGTATTATAATATTGCCTACTTTTAATGGCTTTAATGTTTTAAAAGTTTTAATATTGTTGTATGCCACTCATATACATGTGTATGTCTACTAACTACATGTATCTGCAACTATCTGAGGCATACATACTGTTACAGTTTTATACAAATACATTTAAACAAAGTGTGACCTGGGGCACAATACCATCCTGGATTACACTGAAGCCCAACATTTTTATTTTATTTTATTTTATTTTTTCGAGGGCTTATATATTTTCCCCCATAGCTGTACAATACGAGACGCAGTTGTTTGAAAAGGGAGGGGGAAATGACATAGGTGCCAAAATGTCTTCAGCATCGGCACCAGACGAATCTCAGTCGGGAGGGCATTCCATAGTCTGGGGGCAGCTGCCGAAAAGGCCCTTTGTCTACAAGCCATCCCTTTCACCTCCTTGAGGGGCGGCTCTTTCAAAAGGGCCCCATGGCTAGATCTTAACTGCCGGGTAGGTTCATATGGAAGGAGGCAGTCCTTCAGGTATCCAGGTCCTTCAGGTATTTTATTCACGCAGTAGCCAGCAAGATAAGAATGTGAGTTCAACAAAACCTTCTTGCTCAGATTCCTCAGCAACTGATATTCCACAAGTACACAATCCAAAATATCAGAAGTAATATATAGTCGCTGTGACCAGAGGTCATTGATAACTTTCATTTCCATGACTCTGTCCAATCCCTTTTCAAAGCCATCACCACAGTATGTCACAGCAGCAAATTCTATACTTAAATCATACACTATGTGAAGAAGTACAGTACTTCTTTTTCACTGCCCTACCTTCCCCAGCTTTAAGCTTCAATAGATGAGCCCATGTTTTACCATTGTGCATGAAGGAAGAAAACTTCTGTCATTTTTTTCTACAGCATTATTAATTTTATATTTCTTCCCCATTATATTTGCCCACCCCTACATCCTCACTATTTTACCAAGCATAGTCCACCTACAGTGTTGTTACTCCTTACAAGGCAGCTGATCCATTTTGGCTGCCCTTTTCTGCATCTTTTTTAACTCCACAATTATCCTTTTTCTGATGCAACAACCAGTATATAGTATTCCAAATGTGGCTGCACCCCAGATTTGTTCAAGATTAGCATGGATCTGGGATCTGCAGTATATTTCACCATTAAACTACAGCTTCCAGGAACTTTCCTTCTAGAAGACTGTTCATTTAAACTCTTGATACTCTCTATGTAGAAGAGAAAGGATAATTATTGTCTTCCATACAAGTAAAAAACACACCATAGCATGTATGAAAGAATCTACCCAGCTCTACTTTGCTAGATTTTAGAGCAAACTGCAGATGATTCCTTGAGAAATGAGTGTACAAAATACTCTGAAAAGACTGCGGTGCACATATCTTATAACAGACAGATTCTTTAAAATGACAGAACATATATGTATACAAATTGAAGTACAGGTACAAAATAAATACTGCTACATTTTGAAATCTGAAAACCACCCATAACTTCAGTATATTTATAGAGAACTCTTAGCACTCATTTTACAAACCATTAAACAATTACAGAAATCTAGCAATAATAATAGCTTCTGGTGTACATTAATTACCTTGAATAATGCAATATACTGATCAAAATAGATGTTAAGGACCACCTACAACTAACTTAAAGCAACACACTTGCAAACCATCTGCATTCAGCTGAAGTCAATGGACCTGAAGCTATCTTAAATGTAACTAAGCTCCTGAAAGTTGTTTGTAAATGACAGCAACAGAACTTTACAAAATTTTGCTATGCTTCAAACGAAAAATAGTAGATGTTTCAGTGGTGAAATAGGTTTTAAAATGGCCAGGAACAAAAAAAAAAAAAAAAACTACTTCAGCTACACCAAAATGTTTGGACATACTCAATACAAATTTTAGCACCCATGTTTTGAAAAGTTCGCTGGACCCTCTGATTGTCTTATCTTCATGTTGGCAGTAACATCAATTTCATTTGTGCAGGATTCTGTGGGTGCCAAATTTTATCATATTCTGCTGGTGTTCTAAACTGCTGTGTTGTTTTTGTCATATTCTGTTGTGCTTTTAAGTTGTATTTAGTATTTATCATACCGACATCTAATAGATTTATGCTTTCTTCAGCAAAAATGTTGGCATATGCAGAAATTACTATCACAGCAAGCTCCTTCTGAAAATGGGGGAGGGGCACTTTTGGGCTTCAAAGGTCACTTGCATTCATGGAACTATCTATACAGAGTGTTATATTTTTTGTTTGTTTGTTTTTTAAATTTTTTTGCATCCTAACTACCAATAGGATAATTTTACAAAACTGGAAAACGCTGTGCAAGGCTCAGGGGTCAGAAATTTGTTCTCTAAATTTATGATCTTGAAGTTTTCAGGCCCTTCTTGAATTCTCCAAATACTGCCTTCATCTTGGAGTACTCTAGATCAGGGATCCCCAACCCCTGGTCCGTGGCCCAGTGCCAGTCCGTGGCCATGGCAGGACCAGGTCGCGGAGACAGATCTCCTGCCCCCCGCAGGTACTCCCCCCACCTACCCCACCTGCACACATGGCCCACCACCCGCACACATGGGTGTACCACCCCTTCACGCATGCGCGTGAGCTCACCCTGCCGACCCCAAGTTCACTCCACCCCTTCACACGTGCGTTCCATCCATTCACGCATGAGCGCGAGCGCGCTCCACCCTCCCGCAAGCGCGGGGGATGCCCCATCCCCTTGCGAATGGACTCCAACCCCCCCAACTGGTCCAAAACTCAGGTTGGCAACCACTGCTCTAGATGATAATCTTAAATGCAATTCACAATATGCCTTAAATGAGGTTACAGTAAAAACAATTTTTAAGGCCAAGAAATATATAAGGCAAACAATATGCCTGTCATAAGAAATATGAACTAAAGTAATGTTTAGTAACTTTTGCAAAACATTAGTGACATTCCATGTGACTGTTTATAACACCAAAGAAATATAATCCCCCCAAATTACAGTGGTGAAATTGATCATTTTAAAAATTTAGTTGTATTACTCCTGTGAGATGTTTGACAAACCTTTTTCTGAGCACCTTCCTTCTTTTTCTTTTCTTCCTGCTTTTTCTTTTTCTTTTCTTCCATCAAATGTTCCTCTTCTTGTGTTTGTTCTTTCTCCCTGTTTAAAAGAGGAGAGTAGAAACTATTTTAGAGAAGGTTATTCCACAATAAGCTCTAAAGCAGCCTGAATAGTATACAAAACTGCTAGTATTTAAAGGTAACTTACATTACAACAAATGTTTAAAAAAACCAACAATCCATAAATCTTTACTGCTGCAGTCAGCACTACTGGGATTAATTAATGATCCCAATATACTCAAAACACCTAACTTGTACAAATTGCTTTTCTTACATGTTATGTAGATCTTCATTTGCTCTCAATACCCTGTACCTGCAGCTTGTCAATTTATGACTTGAGAAAAACAAAGCTCAAACACACAGATTCAAGCCTTCCCAAAATCAGATTTTCAATTTACCATGCATAATCTCAAGCAAAATTCTCAGAAAATCCATAATACAGATAACCTCCCAAAATACATGAAAAATTGGCCCAAGGATAGGAGTTAATACCAGACAGGTTAGCAAAAAATCACAACTAGTCGTTATGGTTCCAATAAATAGTTGGTGTCCACACTGGTTGGACTGAAAAATTTCTTTCTGAAAAGTAACCGGCATACTTTTGCTTAAGTTTTATTTTACATTTTAAAAACAGTTGAAGGTTGGTTCTTATCTGACATTTGAATTCACATGCTACAGTTTTTTTATTTGTTTCAGGGTGTACCATTACAATGAAAAAACATCTGTATGAGTGGCATACAACAGTAGATGAGTTGTGTTCAGTAAAGAAATGGGTTCTCACCCCAAAGATTCCACCAATCTTTTTTCAACTGGGAAATCCTTCAGAGCAGATTTCAGAGTAGGGGGACATGGGGGCTTCAGAAGAAAAAGGAACAGGCAGCTGAAAGGCTGGATATACCCCTTTATTTTGAGAAAATAATTCAGAAATGATATACATAGGTAACCTAATTAACAGTTTGCAAACCATTTAATTTAAATTCAAGCATTTTGTCTTAACCGGTCTGTGTAACAAACTCACTGTGTTAAGTATGCTAAGAACTCAGATGTCCTACAGTATACCACTGTTCTGTTTTTCAACAGACACAGTTACAGCTCATTCCCCAACTGGTAACAACAGTAATCTCCCTCATGGGCACTTTGCTATAGTTTGTAAATTGACAAATTTGAGAAAGCAGGCAGGAAGTCTGTCACTCTTCTGTCAGTTTCACCCAGTGTCAGATACCTAGAGTACACAATCCTGACCTGTTGTGATAGCAGTTAAATTTTTTGACCTTACACCCTGGCTCTGTGCAAGCAAGATCAATGAACTGTGAATGATGTCCTTGTGCAGCCAGCAGCAATGCACTCTGCTAGAAATTTCTTAAACCACAAATTTGTTGAAGACTCAATTAAATATTCACAATGAAGTATAACATCAGTGTGGAGCTATTTAAAGGGCACATTTGGATAACAGATAGAAAACACGGAACAATTTCTATTTCATACTGAAATCTGGAATGGCATATACTAGTTGATTGTGGCCAAGTTTTATATGAACTGTGGGAAAGAAATCTTGGTGAGGGGTTTATGTAGTTACAAATTTTGAGAAGTCTCTTTTTTTAATGTGTCTTGTCAGGAAACATCAACTGCTTCTATTTACAAGGATACAAAAAGAAGTGCAAAATGTAGTTTTCTTTACTGCCTTTAATGATTACAGTTAAAGGCCTTGAGAACTTCACCTTTCTGTGAAGCTGCCATTTTTTTCCCTTTTTACTGAGGAAACACCGTACTTCATATTATGGTGTACCGATACCACAGAAGTGGTACAGTGTACTAATGGATGACAAAGAAGAAGGAAGTGAAGTATTGGGGCAGCCCACAGTGTAGGTCCCTGTGATAAGAATGCAGATTGCTATGTGAACTTGAGCTTGTCGGTTATATGATTATTAAAAATATTAATTTGACACAGGGGTTGCAGCAAGCTTGAGGACAAGGACAGGATCTTGGTCAGGTGAGAACTGAAATCTGAAGACAGATAATTTTTTTTTATAAAGGAAAGGTTCAAAAGGTCTTTTGAGACATGTTGCCAACTCAGGATCTGAATGTAAGACTTTGTCTCTCAAACTGTGAATATAACTTTACTCTTTCCTCCCAAAAATATGTTTCCAAAACTGGACAAAATCCTGTTGCTTAGTATAGTAAATTACAATAGAATAGCCACGCTGAATCAATAGGGATTTGATGAGTCAACTCCTGCAAAAGTTCCACTGATTCAAATGGGTCTACTCCACTTGCAATTTTCTTTACCACAATAAGTCACAATTAGAGCAGGCACATTTGAATCAATGGAACTTCTGAAGGAGCTGACTCACTAAATCCCTATTGATTCAATAGACCTGCTGTACTATGATTTACACTAAGCAACAGGATTTTGACCAATAAATCAGTAAGTTATAAAGTAGACATATGCAACAAATCAAGACAGGCTTTCCAAATCAACCTTTTTCACTTTCACATGGTCTGAGAAGATTTAATGTTATAAATAAATAAAGGGGAGTGGTTACCTGGTGGTGATGGGAAATAAGATGCAGGATGATAACATAAGCTGTCTAATGCCTGCTGCAGCATAGAATGGGAATTGTCTATAAGGGCATCAACAAAACAGATAGAAGGCAAACAACACTTTTGACATGAGGGAGGTTACGGTGACAAGGAGAATATGACAGAAGTGCTGAACAGTGAAGGGAGATTCTGCTAATAGCTACAGAAAGCTAGCGAGATTTGTATACAGTGGCGCCTCGCATAGTGAGCGCCCCGTTTAACGACGAATCCACATAGCGATTCGTTTTTTGCGATCGCAAAAGCGATTGCATTGCGATGTTTTCTATGGGGAAAAATCGCTTTGCAATTTTTCCCCATAGAACCCTGGCAGATGTGTCGGAGCGGCCGCCGGCTTGCTTCAGCCAGGCAGGGAGGAATCGTTTCCCTCCTTTGCAAGCAACGCTGGTTCCTCCTCGCGCTGGGCTGAGCACAGCCCAGCGGGAGGAGGACCCAGCATTGCTTGCAAGGAGGGAGACAATTCCTCTCTGGCCGCCGGGTTGCTTCCGAAGCCAAAAAGGCCGGGAGAAAATGTGGGAAGTTCAAACTTCCCGCGTTTTCTCACTGCCTTTTTGGCTTCAGAGAGCTCCGAAGCCGCCCATCGCGGCGGTGGGGACCCCCAGGGAGGTCTCCCAGGGCTTGCATGCCACCATCGGAGACCTCCCTGGGGGTCCTCGCCGCCGCGATTGGTGCCTTCAGAGGTTTCAAAGGGCTTTCCCCAACATTGGAGGAAGTCCTTTGAAAGCTCCAAAGGCAGCGGAGCTCCGGGCGGCTAGAGCAGGCCGGGGCCCTGGCTGCTCGCCCCCGGCCGTGCGGAACCAGTGGAGGGGTGGGAGGCTAGAGCAGGCCGGGCTCCTGGCCGCTCGCCCCCAGCCGCGAGGAGCCAGCAGAGTGCCCGGAGGCTTCTGACCGGTAAGTCCTTTTTTAAATTTTTTGTGTGTGGGTTTGGACTGGGGGGGTTATGTTTGTGGTTTGTGCTTGTGTGTGTGTCTTTTTGCACTGTGTTTTTGCCGCAAGCGCTTCGGCTGTGTGAAAGTGGGGGCTTTGGTCCTCCCAAAGGCCCCATTTTCACACAGCTGATCGGCGGTTCCAAAATGGCCGCCGCAACCATTTTCGCTGCCCTCGCTTACCGAGGGCACGAAAATGGCTGCCCCTATGGAGGAACATCGCTTAACGGTGAGTTTATCCCCAATAGGAACGCGTTAAACGAAGTTTAATGCATTCCTATGGGATTTTCCTTTCTGTTTAGCGATGTTTCCACATAACGACGATTAATCCGGAACGGATTAATGTCGCTATGCGGGGCACCACTGTATACAAAATAAAACCTAGATTTTAATGAACTGTAGACATCCTAGCAAGTGTCAACATAGGGGGCAACATCACCATCACCAGTTTGATTTCCCTCCACATTAGTGGCACAACACAAATGTCTTACGTAATTCAACTTTGAGCCTCTCAACAAATAGCTTTTCTAGTGAGAGTACTCAGGTGGCTGGCTCGAGGGTGACTCAGCCCTTTAATCTTCCAAGATCGGTAAAATAAGTATCCAGTTCGATTGGTGTGTGTGTGTGTGGGGGGGTATGTGTAGGAGTTAAATTGTAAACCACCCAGTATTGTGGGCGAATATATAAGCAGCATGCTTTGCTTTCACTCCCCACACTTGTACAGACAGATAGGGAAAAATATATCTACTTTGTGGAAATGCCCTCACCAATCTGTACTTCTTTATGAACTGGTTCACATGTGCTAGTCAGGTGTGACTAGTGAAAATCATGAAGTCTGAATAACCTTTAAAAAACCTGCCAAATTCTGACAGACCAAAAAGTGCAGTTGTCAGGCTTCAGGTGATCCCAAAGTGATCCTGGGAAATATTTTTGAAGATGTTTACACCTGTAACACATCATAATGTAAACATGCAAAGTTACCTCATAGACATTTGCACAACAACAAGCTTAAATGTACTTTGCTAATGTCTATCAACTATAAACCAAGGACAAACCTAGGATAGCCACCACACTGCTTTTGAATTTAAGGTTTCATTGGCTGTTCACATCATTTTGTGCACAACAACAAATGCAACCACCAACCTCTTAATTAGAAACCATGCACTACTGAAATCCAAGCCAAGGGACTAAAACTAACGTTAGTGTAATAATCCAACTGGATTCTGATCAGTGTGATAATATGCGCTTTCTTCAAGAAGTGCTCAGCACAAACACAATTTCTGGTCCACATCAATTGTTATTACTGCTGCACACCAGCTGTAAACAAGGAAGCCCTACTTATGACTCTTGAGGAATAAACCCTATTCTGAAATAAGTTATAATGGATATAGAACTGTAGTCAAAGTTATCCACAGTTGAGGTCCATTCCACTGTAAATGTCTAGTACAGATAAATTCTTCAAAGTCTGACTATATCATCTCTGAAAAGAGAAATGTGACGTTGCCCAAATGTGACG